GCAGACACGGAGAGAGACACGTGGGGAGACACGTGGGAGACACGAGGAGAGAGACACGGGGAGAGACACGTGGTGAGACACGTGGTGAGACACGGGGAGAGAGAGACACGTGGTGAGAGACACGTGGTGAGAGACACGTGGTGAGACACGTGGTGAGACACGTGGTGAGACACGTGGGAGACACAGGGAGAGAGACACGAGGAGAGAGACACGGGGAAACACGAGGAGAGAGAGACACGTGGTGAGAGACATGTGGTGAGACACTTGGGAGACACGTGGGAGAGAGACACGAGGAGAGAGACACGGGGAGAGAGACACGGGGAGAGAGACACGGGGAGACACTGAGAGAGACAGGGGGAGGCACGGGGAGAGAGACACGTGGGAGACACTGCGAGAGAGACACGAGGAGACACGTGGTGAGACACCTGGAGAGAGACACGGGGAGACACTTGGGAGACACAGGGAGACAGACACGAGGAGAGAGACACGGGGAGACACGTGGTGAGACACGTGGGAGCCACGGAGAGAGACACGTGGGAGACACTTGGGGAGAGACACGGGGAGAGGGAGACACGTGGGGAGACACACGGGGAGACACGGAGAGAGACACGTGGGGAGACACACGGGGAGACACGGAGAGAGACACGAGGAGAGAGACACGGGGAGACACGTGGGAGACACGGAGAGAGACACGTGGGAGACACGTGGGGAGAGACACGAGGAGAGAGAGACACGTGGAGACATGGGGAGACACTGCGAGAGAGACACGGGGAGACACAGGGAGACACGTGGGGAGACACGGGGAGACACGTGGTGAGACACGTGGAGAGAAACACGGGGAGACACTGCGAGAGAGACACGGGGAGACACGGGGAGACACGTGGGGAGACACGGGGAGACACTGCGAGAGAGACACGGGGAGAGAGACACGAGGAGAGAGACACAAGGAGAGAGACACGTGGTGAGACACGTGGGGAGAGACATGGGGAGACACGTGGTGAGACACGTGGGAGAGAGACACGAGGAGAGAGACACAAGGAGAGAGACACGTGGTGAGACACGTGGGGAGAGACGTGGGGAGACACGTGGTGAGAGACACGTGGGGAGACACGGAGAGAGACACGTGGGAGACACGTGGGAGACACGGAGAGAGACACGAGGAGAGAGAGACACGTGGTGAGACACGTGGTGGGAGACACGTGGTGGGAGACACGTGGGGAGAGAGACACGTGGGAGACACGTGGGGAGACACGAGGGGAGAGAGACACGAGGAGACACTTGGGAGACCCGGGGAGAGAGACACGAGGAGAGACACGTGGGAGACACATGGGGAGACATGTGCGGAGAGACACGTGGTGAGAGAGAGACACGGGGAGACACGTGGGAGACACGGGGAGACACGTGGGAGACACAGGGAGAGAGACACGAGGAGAGAGACACGGGGAGAGAGAGACACGAGGAGAGAGAGACACGTGGGAGAGAGAGACACGTGGTGAGACACGTGGGAGACACGTGGTGAAAGACACGTGGTGAGACACGTGGTGAGAGACACGTGGAGAGAGAGACACGGGGAGAGAGAGACACGTGGAGAGAGAGAGACACGTGGAGAGAGAGACACGTGGAGAGAGAGACACGTGGAGAGAGAGACACGGGGAGAGAGACACACGTGGAGAGAGAGACACGTGGAGAGAGAGAGACACGGGGAGAGAGACACACGAGGAGAGAGAGACACGTGGAGAGAGAGACACGGGGAGAGAGAGACACGGGGAGAGAGAGACACGTGGTGAGAGACACGTGGTGAGGCTGACCCGCCAGAGGTCACGAGGTCACGGAAGGCTCCGGCGATGAGCAGCGAGAGCCACGTGGAGAGAGACACGGGGAGAGACACGTGGAGAGAGACACGTGGAGAGAGACACTTGGGAGAGAGAGACACGTGGTGAGAGACACGTGGTGAGAGACACGTGGGAGAGAGACAGGGAGAGAGACACGGGGAGAGAGACACGAGGAGAGAGACACGTGGTGAGAGAGACACGGGGAGAGAGAGACACGTGGGAGAGAGAGACACGTGGTGAGACACGTGGGAGACACGTGGTGAGACACGTGGGAGACACGTGGGGAGAGACACGTGGGAGAGAGACACGTGGGAGAGACACGTGGGAGAGACACGTGGGAGACACTGCGAGAGAGACAGGGAGAGAGACACGAGGAGAGAGACACGTGGTAAGAGAGACACGTGGAGACACGAGGAGACACGTGGTGAGACACGTGGTGAGAGACACGTGGAAAGAGAGACACGTGGTGAGAGACACGTGGGGAGACACGTGGTGAGAGACACGTGGTGAGGCTGACCGCCAGAGGTCACGAGGTCACGGAAGGCTCCGGCGATGAGCAGCGAGAGCCGGGGAGAGAGACACGGGGAGAGAGACACGTGGTGGGAGACACGTGGGAGACACTTGGGAGACACGGTGAGACACGTGGGAGAAAGACACGTGGTGAGAGAGACACGTGGTGAGAGAGACACGTGGTGAGAGAGACACGTGGTGAGAGAGACACGTGGTGAGAGAGACACGTGGTAAGAGAGACACGGGGAGAGAGACACGGAGAGAGACACGTGGTGAGACACTGGGAGAGAGACACGTGGGAGGCTGACCGGCAGAGGTCACGAGGTCACGGAAGGCTCCGGCGATGAGCAGCGAGAGCCACGTGGAGAGAGACACGTGGAGAGACACGTGGAGAGACATGTGGTGGGAGACACGTGGGAGACACGTGGAGAGACACGGGGAGAGAGAGAGACACGGAGAGAGAGAGACACCGGGGAGAGAGAGACACGAGGAGAGAGACACGGAGAGAGACACGTGGGAGACACGGGGAGAGAGACACGTGGAGAGAGAGACACGTGGTGAGAGACACGTGGGAGAGACACGTGGAGAGACACGGGGAGAGAGAGAGACACCGGGGAGAGAGAGACACGAGGAGAGAGACACGGAGAGAGACACGTGGGAGACACGGGGAGAGAGACACGTGGAGAGAGAGACACGTGGTGAGAGACACGTGGGGAGACACGTGGTGAGAGACACGTGGTGAGACACGTGGTGAGAGACACGTGGGGAGACACGTGGTGAGAGACACGTGGTGAGGCTGACCGCCAGAGGTCACGAGGTCACGGAAGGCTCCGGCGATGAGCAGCGAGAGCCACGTGGAGAGAGACATGGGGAGAGACACGTGGAGAGAGACACGGGGAGAGAGACACGTGGTGAGAGACACGTGGTGAGAGAGACACGTGGAGAGACACGTGGTGAGAGAGACACGTGGTGAGAGAGACACGTGGTGAGAGAGACACGTGGTGAGAGAGACACGTGGAGAGACACGGGGAGAGAGACACGGGGAGAGAGAGACACGTGGTGAGAGAGACACTTGGGAGACATGGTGAGACACGTGGGAGAGAGACACGTGGAGAGAGAGACACGAGGAGTGAGACACCAGGAGAGAGACACGTGGAGACACGAGGAGACACGTGGGAGAGACACGTGGTAGACACTGCGAGAGAGACACGAGGAGACACACGGGGAGACACGGGGAGAGAGAGACACGTGGGAGAGAGACACGTGGGAGAGACACGGGGAGAGAGACACGTGGGAGAGACACGTGGTAGACACTGCGAGAGAGACACGAGGAGACACACGGGGAGACACGGGGAGAGAGAGACACGTGGGAGAGAGACACGTGGGAGAGAGACACGTGGGAGAGAGACACGTGGTGAGAGAGACACGTGAGAGACACGTGGGAGAGAGACACGTGGGAGTCTGACCGCCAGAGGTCACGAGGTCACGGAAGGCTCCGGCGATGAGCAGCGAGAGCCGGGGAGAGAGACACGGGGAGAGACACGTGGGAGAGAGACACGGGGAGAGACACGTGGTGAGACACGGGGAGAGAGAGAGACACGGAGAGAGAGAGACACCGGAGAGAGAGAGACACGAGGAGAGAGACACGGAGAGAGACACGTGGGAGACACGGGGAGAGAGACACGTGGGAGAGAGACACGTGGTGAGACACGGGGAGAGAGAGAGACACGGAGAGAGAGAGACACCGGGGAGAGAGAGACACGAGGAGAGAGACACGGAGAGAGACACGTGGGAGACACGGGGAGAGAGACACGTGGGAGAGAGACACGTGGTGAGAGACACGTGGTGAGGCTGACCGCCAGAGGTCACGAGGTCACGGAAGGCTCCGGCGATGAGCAGCGAGAGCCGGGGAGAGAGACACGGAGAGAGACACGTGGTGAGAGACACGTGGGAGAGAGACACGTGGAGAGACACGTGGTGAGAGAGACACGTGGTGAGAGAGACACGTGGTGAGAGCCACGTGGTGAGACACGTGGTGAGAGACACGTGGTGAGACACGTGGGAGAGAGACACGAGGAGAGACACGTGGGAGAGAGACACGTGGTGAGAGACACGTGGTGAGAGACACGTGGGAGAGACACGGGGAGAGAGACACGTGGAGAGACACGGGGAGAGAGAGACACGTGGTGAGACACGTGGTGAGACACGTGGTGAGACACGTGGTGAGAGACACTTGGGAGACACGTGGTGAGAGACACGTGGTGAGGCTGACCGCCAGAGGTCACGAGGTCACGGAAGGCTCCAGCGATGAGCAGCGAGAGCCACGTGGAGAGAGACACGGGGAGAGAGAGACACGGGGAGAGAGACACGTGGTGAGAGACACGTGGGAGGCTGACCGCCAGAGGTCACGAGGTCACGGAAGGCTCCGGCGATGAGCAGCGAGAGCCGGGGAGAGAGACACGGGGAGAGAGAGACACTTGGGAGACACGTGGTGAGAGACACGTGGGAGTCTGACCGCCAGAGGTCACGAGGTCACGGAAGGCTCCAGCGATGAGCAGCGAGAGCCGGGGAGAGAGACACGGGGAGAGACACGTGGTGAGAGACACGAGGAGAGAGACACTTGGGAGACACGTGGTGAGAGACACGTGGGAGTCTGACCGCCAGAGGTCACGAGGTCACGGAAGGCTCCGGCGATGAGCAGCGAGAGCCGCTCACACCAGGCACGAGTTGGGCAGAAGATGAGGACGGAGTGGCCGAGATGGGCGACGTCATAGACCAGGCTGACCACGTGGTCTGGGTCTCCCTGATGCACACAGCACACCCAGTCACTCACTCAGTCAGTCAGTCAATCAGTCAGTCACTCAGTCAGTCACTCAGTCAGTCAATCACTCAGTCAGTCAGTCACCCACTCACTCACTCAGTTACTCATTCAGTCAGTCACTTAGTCAGTCAGTCAGTCACTCACTCAGTCAGTCAGTCACTCAGTCAGTCACCCACTCACTCACTCAGTTACTCACTCAGTCAGTCACTCACTCAGTCAGTCACTCACTCAGTCAGTCACTCAGTCAGTCAGTCAGTCAATCAGTCAGTCAGTCAGTCAGTCACTCAGTCACTCACTCAGTCAGTCACTCAGTCAGTCAGTCACCCAGTCACTCACTCAGTCAGTCACTCAGTCAGTCACTCAGTCAATCAGTCACTCAGTCAATCAGTCAATCAGTCAGTCAGTCAATCAGTTACTCACTCAGTTACTCAGTCAGTCACTCACTCAGTCAGTCAATCACTCAGTCACTCAGTCAATCAGTCAGTCACTCAGTTACTCACTCAGTTACTCAGTCAATCACTCAGTCAGTCACTCAGTCACTTAGTCAGTCAGTCACTCAGTCACTCACTCAGTTACTCAGTCAATCACTCAGTCAGTCACTCAGTCACTTAGTCAGTCAGTCACTCAGTCACTCACTCAGTTACTCACTCAGTCACTCACTCAGTCAGTCAGTCACCCACTCACTCACTCAGTTACTCATTCAGTCAGTCACTCAGTCACTCAGTCACTCAGTCAGTCAGTCACTCAGTCAGTCACTCAGTCAGTCAATCAGTCAGTCAGTCACTCACTCAGTCAGTCACTCAGTCAGTCACTCAGTCAGTCAATCAGTCAGTCACTCACTCAGTCACTCAGTCAGTCACTCAGTCAGTCACTCAGTCAATCAGTCAGTCAGTCACTTAGTCAGTCAGTCAGTCAGTCAGTCACTCACTCAGTCACTCACTCAGTCACTCAGTCAATCACTCAGTCAGTCACTTAGTCAGTCAGTCACTCAGTCAGTCACTCACTCAGTCAATCAGTCAGTCACTCACTCAGTCACTCAGTCAGTCACTCAGTCAGTCACTCAGTCAATCAGTCAGTCAGTCACTTAGTCAGTCAGTCAGTCAGTCAGTCACTCACTCAGTCACTCACTCAGTCACTCAGTCAATCACTCAGTCAGTCACTTAGTCAGTCAGTCACTCAGTCAGTCACTCACTCAGTCACTCAGTCAGTCAATCAGTCACTCAGTCAGTCACTCAGTCAGTCACTCAGTCAGTCACTCAGTCAGTCACTCAGTCAGTCACTCAGTCAGTCATTCACTCAGTCATTCACTCAGTCATTCAGTCATTCACTCAGTCACTCAGTCACTCAGTCACTCAGTCAGTCAGTTACTTAGTCACTCACTCAGTCACTCACTCAGTCACTCAGTCAGTCATTCACTCAGTCAGTCAGTTAGTCACTCAGTCATTCACTCACTCAGTCAATCAGTCACTCAGTCACTCACCTCCTCAGTCAGTCACTCAGTCACTCAGTCACTCAGTCAGTCAGTCAGTCACTCAGTCAGTCACTCACTCAGCCACTCAGTCAGTCAGTCAGTCACTCAGTCACTCACTCAGTCAGTCACTCAGTCACTTAGTCATTCAGTCAGTCAGTAAGTCAGTCACTCACTCAGTCACTCAGTCAGTCACTCAGTCAGTCACTCAGTCAGTCACTCAGTCAGTCACTCAGTCACACACTCACTCACTCAGTCACTCACTCACTCACTCAGTCAGTCACTCACTCACTCAGTCACTCACTCAGTCACTTAGTCACTCACTCAGTCACTTAGTCACTCACCCACTCACTCAGTCAATCACTCACTCAGTCACTCACTCACACACTCACACACTCAGTCACTCACTCACTCAACCACTCACTCAGTACTCACTCACACACTCACCCAATCACTCACTCACCCACCCACTCACCCACCCACTCATTTACTCACTCACTCACCCACTCAGTCACTCACACACTCACACACTCACCCACTCACTCACCCACTCACTCACACACTCACTCACTCAGTACTCACTAACACACTCACTCACCCAATCACTCACCCACTCACTCACACACTCACTCACTCAGTACTCACTAACACACTCACTCACCCAATCACTCACTCACCCACCCACTCACTCACGCACCCACCCAATCAATCACTCACCCACCCACTCACCCACACAACCACCCACTCACCCATCCACCCACTCACTCACCCACCCACCCACTCATCCACCCACCCAATCAATCACTCACCCACCCACTCACCCACCCACCCTACCCACTCACCCACCCACCCACTCACTCACCCACCCTGTGTGTGTCTCTGTGAGTCTCTGTGTGAGTCTCTGTGTTAGTCTGTGTGTGTGAGTCTCTGTGTGAGTCTGTGTGTGTGTGAATCTCTGTGTGAGTCGCTGTGCGTGTGTGTGAGTCTCTGTGTGAGCCTCTGTGAGTCTATGTGAGTCTCTGTGTGAGTCTTTGTAAGTCTCTGTGTGTGTGTGTGAGTCTCTGTGTGTGAGTCTCTGTGTGAGTCTCTGTGAGTCTCTGTGAGTCTCTGTGTGAGTCTCTGTGAGTCTGTGTGAATCTCTATGTGAGTCTCTGTGTGAGTGAGTCTCTGTGTGAGTCTCTGTGTGAGTCTCTTTGTGAGTCTCTGTGTGTGTGTGAGTCTCTATCTCTGTGTGAGTCTCTCTGTGTGAGTCTCTGTGTGAGGCTCTGTGTGAGTCTGTGTGTGTGTGAGTCTCTATCTCTGTGTGAGTCTCTGTGAGTCTCTCTGTGTGTGTGAGTTTCTATCTCTGTGTGTGCCTCTCTGTGAGTCTGTGTGTGTGTGAGTCTATCTCTGTGTGAGTCTCTCTGTGAGTCTCTGTGAGTCTCTCTGTGTGAGTCTCTGTGAGTCTCTGTGTGAGTGAGTCTCTGTGTGAGTCTCTGTGTGAGTCTCTTTGTGAGTCTCTGTGTGTGTGTGAGTCTCTATCTCTGTGTGAGTCTCTCTGTGAGTCTCTCCGTGTGAGTCTCTGTGTGAGTCTCTGTGTGAGTCTGTGTGTGTGTGTGAGTCTCTATCTCTGTGTGAGTCTCTGTGAGTCTCTCTGTGTGTGTGAGTCTCTCTCTCTGTGTGAGTCTCTCTGTGAGTCTCTCTGTGAGTCTCTCTGTGAGTCTCTGTTTGAGTCTCTATCTCTCCGTGTGAGTCTCTGTGTGAGTCTCTCTGTGTGTGAGTCTGTGTGAGTCTCTATATCTCTGTGTGAGTCTCCGTGTGAGTCTCTGTGATTCTCTCTGTGAGCCTCTCTGTGAGTCTCTCTCCGTGTGAGTCTCTCTCTGTGTGAGTCTCTCTGTGTGAGTCTCTCTCTCTGTGAGTCTCTCTGTGAGGCTCTCTCTCTGTGTGAGTCTCTCTCTCTGTGAGTCTCTGTGTGTGAGTCTCTGTGTGAGTCTCTCTGTGAGTCTCTCTGTGAGTCTCTCTGTGAGTCTCTCTATGAGTCACTCTGTGAGCCTCTCTCTGTGAGTCTCTCTCTGTGTGAGTCTCTCTGTGTGAGTCTCTGTGTGAGTCTCTGTGTGAGTCTCTGTGAGCCTCTCTCTGTGAGTCTCTCTGTGAGTCTCTCTGTGTGAGTCTCTCTCTCTGTGAGTCTCTCTCTGTGAGTCTCTCTGTGAGTCTCTCTCTCTGTGTGAGTCTCTCTCTCTGTGAGTCTCTGTGTGTGAGTCTCTGTGTGAGTCTCTCTGTGAGTCTCTCTGTGAGTCTCTCTGTGAGTCTCTCTATGAGTCACTCTGTGAGCCTCTCTCTGTGAGTCTCTCTCTGTGTGAGTCTCTCTGTGTGAGTCTCTGTGTGAGTCTCTGTGTGAGTCTCTGTGAGTCTCTCTCTGTGAGTCTCTCTGTGAGTCTCTCTGTGTGAGTCTCTCTCTCTGTGAGTCTCTCTGTGAGTCTCTGTGTGTGTGAGTCTCTCTCTCTGTGTGAGTCTCTCTCTCTGTGAGTCTCTGTGTGAGTCTCTGTGTGAGTCTCTCTGTGAGTCTCTCTGTGAGTCTCTCTGTGAGTCTCTCTATGAGTCTCTCTGTGAGTCTCTCTCTGTGAGTCTCTCTCTGTGTGAGTCTCTCTGTGTGAGTCTCTGTGTGAGTCTCTGTGTGAGTCTCTGTGAGTCTCTCTCTGTGAGTCTCTCTGTGAGTCTCTCTGTGATTCTCTCTCTCTGTGTGAGGCTCTCTGTGTGAGTCTCTCTCTGTGAGTCTCTGTGTGAGTCTCTCTCTGTGTGAGTCTCTCTCTCTGTGAGTCTCTGTGTGAGTCTCTGTGTGAGTCTCTGTGTGAGTCTCTGTGTGAGTCTCTGTGTGAGTCTCCGTGTGAGTCTCCGTGTGAGTATCCCTCTCTGTGAGTCTCTCTCTGTGAGTCTCTCTATGAGTCTATCTGTGAGTCTCTCTCTGTGTGAGTCTCTGTGTGAGTCTCTGTGTGAGTCTCTCTCTGTGTGAGTCTCTCTCTGTGTGAGTCTCTCTCTGTGTGAGTCTCTCTATGAGTCACTCTGTGTGAGTCTCTCTCTGTGTGAGTCTCTCTCTCTGTTTGAGTCTCTCTCTGTGTGAGTCTCTATATCTCTGTGTGTGAGTCTCTCTCTGTGTGAGTCTCTCTGTGTGAGTCTCTCTCTCTGTGAGTCTCTCTCTGTGTGAGTCTCTCTCTGTGTGAGTCTCTCTCTGTGTGAGTCTCTCTCTGTGTGAGCCTCTCTCTCTGCGAGTCTCTCTCTGTGAGTCTCTCTATGAGTCTCTCTGTGTGTGAGTCTCTCTCTCTCTGTGTGAGTCTCTCTGTGTGAGTCTCTGTGAGTCTCTCTGTGTGAGTCTCTCTCTGTGTGAGTCTCTCTCTGTGTGAGTCTCTATATCTCTCTGTGTGAGTCTCTGTGTGAGACTCTCTCTGTGTGAGTCTCTATGAATCTCTGTGAGTCTCTCTCTCTGTGAGTCTCTATATCTCTCTGTGTGAGTCTCTCTGTGTGAGTCTCTATATCTCTCTGTGTGAGTCTCTGTGTGAGTCTCTCTCTGTGTGAGTCTCTCTCTGTGTGAGTCTCTATGAATCTCTGTGAGTCTCTCTCTCTGCGAGTCTCTATATCTCTCTGTGTGAGTCTCTCTGTGTGAGTCTCTATATCTCTCTGTGTGAGTCTCTGTGTGAGTCTCTCTCTGTGTGAGTCTCTCTCTGTGTGAGTCTCTATGAATCTCTGTGAGTCTCTCTCTCTGTGAGTCTCTATATCTCTCTGTGTGAGTCTCTCTGTGTGAGTCTCTCTATGAGTCTCTCTGTGATTCTCTCTCTGTGTGAGTCTCTCTCTGTGTGAGTCTCTCTGTGTGAGTCTCTGTGTGTGAGTCTCTCTCTGTGATTCTCTCTCTCTGTGAGTCTCTCTCTCTGTGAGTCTCTATATCTCTCTGTGTGAGTCTCTCTCTGTGAGTATCTATATCTCTCTGTGTGAGTCTCTCTCTGTGTGAGTCTCTCTCTCTGTGTGAGTCTCTCTCTGTGTGAGTCTCTCTCTGTGTGAGTCTCTCTCTGTGTGAGTCTCTCTCTGTGTGAGTCTCCGTGTGAGTATCTCTCTGTGTGAGTCTCTCTCTGTGTGAGTCTCTCTCTCTGTGAGTCTCTCTCTGTGTGAGTCTCTCTCTGTGTGAGTCTCTCTCTGTGTGAGTCTCTCTCTGTGTGAGTCTCTCTCTCTCTGTGAGTCTCTGTGTGATTCTCTCTCTGTGTGAGTCTCTCTCTGTGTGAGTCTCTCTCTGTGTGAGTCTCTCTCTCTGTGAGTCTCTCTCCGTGTGAGTCTCTCTCTGTGTGAGTCTCTCTGTGTGAGTCTCTCTCTCTGTGAGTCTCTCTGTGAGTCTCTCTGTGTGAGTCTCTCTCTGTGTGATTCTCTCTCTGTGTGATTCTCTCTCTCTCTGTGAGTCTCTGTGTGAGTCTCTCTCTCTGTGTGAGTCTCTCTCTGTGTGAGTCTCTATGAATCTCTGTGAGTCTCTCTCTGTGTGAGTCTCTCTCTGTGTGAGTCTCTGTGTGAGTCTCTCTGTGTGAGTCTCTCTCTGTGTGAGTCTCTCTGTGTGAGTCTCTCTCTCTGTGAGTCTCTCTGTGAGTCTCTCTCTGTGTGAGTCTCTCTCTGTGTGAGTCTCTGTGTGAGTCTCTGTGTGAGTCTCTCTCTCTCTGCGAGTCTCTCTCTCTCTGTGAGTCTCTCTGTGAGTCTCTCTGTGTGAGTCTCTCTCTGTGTGATTCTCTCTCTCTGTGTGAGTCTCTCTCTGTGTGAGTCTCTCTCTGTGTGATTCTCTCTCTGTGTGAGTCTCTCTGTGAGTCTCTCTGTGTGAGTCTCTCTGTGAGTCTCTCTGTGTGAGTCTCTCTGTGTGATTCTCTCTGTGTGAGTCTCTCTCTCTGCGAGTCTCTCTGTGAGTCTCTCTGTGTGAGTCTCTCTCTCTGTGTGAGTCTCTCTCTGTGTGAGTCTCTCTCTCTGTGTGAGTCTCTCTCTGTGTGAGTCTCTCTGTGAGTCTCTCTCTGTGTGAGTCTCTCTCTGTGTGAGTCTCTGTGTGAGTCTCTGTGTGAGTTTCTCTCTCTCTGCGAGTCTCTCTCTCTCTGTGAGTCTCTCTGTGAGTCTCTCTGTGTGAGTCTCTCTCTGTGTGATTCTCTCTCTCTGTGTGAGTCTCTCTCTGTGTGAGTCTCTCTCTGTGTGATTCTCTCTCTGTGTGAGTCTCTCTGTGAGTCTCTCTGTGTGAGTCTCTCTGTGAGTCTCTCTGTGTGAGTCTCTCTGTGAGTCTCTCTGTGTGAGTCTCTCTGTGTGATTCTCTCTGTGTGAGTCTCTCTCTCTGCGAGTCTCTCTGTGAGTCTCTGTGTGAGTCTCTCTCTCTGTGTGAGTCTCTCTGTGTGATTCTCTCTGTGTGAGTCTCTCTCTCTGCGAGTCTCTCTGTGAGTCTCTGTGTGAGTCTCTATCTCTCTGTGAGTCTCTGTGTGAGTCTCTCTGTGTGAGTCTCTCTGTGAGTCTCTCTGTGAGTCTCTGTGTGTGAGTCTCTCTGTGTGAGTCTCTCTCTGTGTGAGTCTCTCTCTGTGTGAGTCTCTCTCTCTCTCTGCGAGTCTCTATATCTCTGTGTGTGAGTCTCTCTCTCTGTGTGAGTCTCTCTCTGTGTGCGAGTCTCTCTCTGTGTGCGAGTCTCTCTCTCTGCGAGTCTCTCTCTGTGTGAGTCTCTCTCTCTGCGACTCTCTCTCTCTGTGTGAGTCTCTGTGTGAGTCTCTGTGTGAGTCTCTGTTAGTCTCTCTGTGTGAGTCTCTCTGTGAGTCTCTCTGTGAGTCTCTCTCTGTGTTTCTCTCTCTCTGTGTGAGTCTCTGTGTGTGAGTCTCTATGAATCTCTGTGTGAGTCTCTCTCTGTGTGAGTCTCTCTCTCTGCGACTCTCTCTCTCTGTGTGAGTCTCTCTGTGTGAGTCTCTCTCTCTGCGAGTCTCTGTGTGAGTCTCTCTCTGTGTGAGTCTCTCTCTCTGTGTGAGTCTCTCTCTGTGAGTCTCTCTCTCTGTGAGTCTCTCTGTGAGTCTCTCTCTGCGAGTCTCTGCTCACCTTGACGGCCAGCCTGGGTGTGTATGTCCCTAGGAACCCTCCGTCCGTGGTGTACAGCGAGCTGCCTGCCTTCACGATCTCCCGGAGTGGCACGGGCCGGAAGCTTCCACTGAACCACGAGGCTCCGAGCCAGCGAGCCAGCGAGGAGCCCGCACTCAGAGTGGCGCTCATAGCCACCAGCTGTAGAGACAGCCTAGAGGGGTGAGTGAGGGGGTGAGTGGGTGACTGAATGAGTGACTGAGTGAGTGAGAGAGTGAGTGAGTGACTGAGTGACTGAGTGAGTGAGTGAGTAACTGAGTGACTGAGTGAGTGAGTGAGTGGGTGAGTGAGTAACTGAGTGACTGAGTGAGTGAGTGGGTGGATGGGTGAGTGGATGGGTGAGTGAGTGGGTGAGTGAGTGAGTGAGTGACTGAGTGAGTGAGAGAGTGACTGACTGACTGACTGAGTGACTGACTGACTGAGTGAGTGACTGACTGACTGACTGAGTGACTGAGTGAGTGAGAGAGTGACTGACTGAGTGACTGAGTGACTGAGTGAGTGAGAGAGTGACTGACTGAGTGAGTGACTGACTGACTGACTGAGTGACTGAGTGAGTGAGTGATTGACTGAGTGACTGAGTGAGTGACTGACTGAGTGACTGACTGAGTGACTGACTGAGTGACTGACTGAGTGAGTGAGTGAGTGACTGAGTGACTGAGTGACTGAGTGAGTGACTGAGTGACTGACTGAGTGACTGACTGAGTGACTGAGTGACTGAGTGAGTGACTGAGTGAGTGAGTGAGTGACTGACTGAGTGACTGAGTGACTGACTGAGTGACTGACTGAGTGAGTGACTGAGTGACTGAGTGACTGAGTGAGTGACTGAGCTGAACCACGAGGCTCCGAGCCAGCGAGCCAGCGAGGAGCCCGCACTCAGAGTGGCGCTCATAGCCACCAGCTGTAGAGACAGCCTAGAGGGGTGAGTGAGGGGGTGAGTGGGTGACTGAATGAGTGACTGAGTGAGTGAGAGAGTGAGTGAGTGACTGAGTGACTGAGTGAGTGAGTGAGTAACTGAGTGACTGAGTGAGTGAGTGAGTGGGTGAGTGAGTAACTGAGTGACTGAGTGAGTGAGTGGGTGGATGGGTGAGTGGATGGGTGAGTGAGTGGGTGAGTGAGTGAGTGAGTGACTGAGTGAGTGAGAGAGTGACTGACTGACTGACTGAGTGACTGACTGACTGAGTGAGTGACTGACTGACTGACTGAGTGACTGAGTGAGTGAGAGAGTGACTGACTGAGTGACTGAGTGACTGAGTGAGTGAGAGAGTGACTGACTGAGTGAGTGACTGACTGACTGACTGAGTGACTGAGTGAGTGAGTGATTGACTGAGTGACTGAGTGAGTGACTGACTGAGTGACTGACTGAGTGACTGACTGAGTGACTGACTGAGTGAGTGAGTGAGTGACTGAGTGACTGAGTGACTGAGTGAGTGACTGAGTGACTGACTGAGTGACTGACTGAGTGACTGAGTGACTGAGTGAGTGACTGAGTGAGTGAGTGAGTGACTGACTGAGTGACTGAGTGACTGACTGAGTGACTGACTGAGTGAGTGACTGAGTGACTGAGTGACTGAGTGAGTGACTGAGCTGAACCACGAGGCTCCGAGCCAGCGAGCCAGCGAGGAGCCCGCACTCAGAGTGGCGCTCATAGCCACCAGCTGTAGAGACAGCCTAGAGGGGTGAGTGAGGGGGTGAGTGGGTGACTGAATGAGTGACTGAGTGAGTGAGAGAGTGAGAGAGTGAGTGAGTGACTGACTGACTGAGTGAGTGACTGAGTGAGTGACTGAGTGACTGATTGAGTGACTGACTGAGTGAGTGACTGAGTGAGTGACTGAGTGACTGAGTGAGTGACTGAGTGAGTGACTGAGTGACTGAGTGAGTGAGAGAGTGAGAGAGTGAGTGAGTGACTGAGTGAGTGAGTGAGTGACTGACTGACTGAGTGAGTGACTGAGCTGACCCACGAGGCTCCGAGCCAGCGAGCCAGCGAGGAGCCCGCACTCAGAGTGGCGCTCATAGCCACCAGCTGGAGAGACAGCCTAGCGGGGTGGGTGAGGGTGTGGGTGAGTGAGTGACTGAATGAGTGACTGAGTGACTGAATGAGTGACTGAGTGACTGAGTGACTGACTGAGTGAGTGAGTGACTGAGTGACTGACTGAGTGACTAACTGACTGACTGAGTGACTGACTGAGTGAGTAGGTGAGTGACTGACTGACTGAGTGGCTGAGTGACTGACTGAGTGACTGAGTGACTGACTGACTGACTGAGTGACTGACTGACTGAGTGAGTGAGTGACTGAGTGAGTGAGTGACTGACTGACTGACTGAGTGACTGAGTGACTGACTGAGTGACTGAGTGAGTGATTGACTGAGTGACTGACTGAGTGACTGACTGAGTGACTAACTGAGTGAGTGAGTGAGTGACTGACTGACTGACTGAGTGAGAGAGTGAGTGAGTGACTGACTGAGTGAGTGAGTGAGTGAGTGACTGAATGACTGAGTGACTAACTGACTGACTGAGTGACTGAGTGAGTGACTGAGCTGACCCACGAGGCTCCGAGCCAGCGAGCCAGCGAGGAGCCCGCACTCAGAGTGGCGCTCATAGCCACCAGCTGTAGAGACAGCCTAGCGGGGTGGGTGAGGGGGTGAGTGACTGAATGAGTGACTGAATGACTGACTGAGTGACTGAGTGAGTGAGTGACTGACTGAGTGACTGAGTGACTGACTGAGTGAGTGACTGAGTGAGTGACTGAGTGAGTGAGTAGGTGAGTGACTGAGTGACTGACTGAGTGAGTGACTGAGTGACTGACTGAGTGACTGAGTGACTGACTGAGTGACTGAGTGAGTGACTGAGTGACTGACTGAGTGACTGAGTGACTGAGTGACTGACTGAGTGAGAGAGTGAGTGACTGAGTGACTGAGTGACTGACTGACTGAGTGAGTGACTGAGTGAGTGACTGAGCTGAACCACGAGGCTCCGAGCCAGCGAGCCAGCGAGGAGCCCGCACTCAGAGTGGCGCTCATAGCCACCAGCTGGAGAGACAGCCTAGCGGGGTGGGTGAGGGGGTGGGTGGGTGAGTGAATGAGTGACTGAGTGAGTGAGAGAGTGAGAGGGTGAGTGAGTGACTGACTGAGTGAGTGACTGAGTGAGTGACTGAGTGAGTGAGTAGGTGAGTGACTGAGTGACTGAGTGAGTGACTGAGTGAGTGACTGAGTGAGTGAGTAGGTGAGTGACTGAGTGACTGAGTGAGTGACTGACTGAGTGAGTGACTGAGTGAGTGACTGAGTGACTGACTGACTGAGTGACTGACTGAGTGACTGAGTGACTGACTGAGTGAGTGACTGAGCTGACCCACGAGGCTCCGAGCCAGCGAGCCAGCGAGGAGCCCGCACTCAGAGTGGCGCTCATAGCCACCAGCTGGAGAGACAGCCTAGAGGGGTGGGTGAGGGGGTGGGTGAGTGACTGAATGAGTGACTGAGTGACTGAGTGACTGAGTGACTGACTGAGTGACTGACTGAGTGGCTGAGTGACTGACTGAGTGAGAGAGTGAGTGACTGAGTGACTGAGTGACTGACTGACTGAGTGAGTGACTGAGCTGAACCACGAGGCTCCGAGCCAGCGAGCCAGCGAGGAGCCCGCACTCAGAGTGGCGCTCATAGCCACCAGCTGGAGAGACAGCCTAGCGGGGTGAGGGGGTGAGTGGGTGACTGAATGAGTGACTGAGTGAGTGAGTGAGAGAGTGAGAGGGTGAGTGAGTGACTGACTGAGTGAGTGACTGAGTGACTGAGTGAGTGAGAGAGTGAGTGAGTGACTGAGTGACTGAGTGACTGAGTGAGTGAGAGAGTGACTGAGTGACTGAGTGACTGACTGACTGAGTGAGTGAGTGATTGACTGAGTGACTGACTGAGTGACTGAGTGACTGAGTGACTGACTGAGTGACTGACTGAGTGACTGACTGACTGAGTGACTGAGTGACTGACTGAGTGAGTGACTAAGTGAGTGACTGAGCTGACCCACGAGGCTCCGAGCCAGCGAGCCAGCGAGGAGCCCGCACTCAGAGTGGCGCTCATAGCCACCAGCTGGAGAGACAGCCTAGCGGGGTGAGTGAGGGGGTGGGTGAGTGACTGAGTGAGTGACTGAATGAGTGACTGAGTGAGTGAGAGAGTGAGAGAGTGACTGAGTGACTGACTGACTGAGTGACTGACTGAGTGACTGAGTGAGTGAGTGACTGACTGAGTGAGTGACAGAGTGACTGAGTGAGTGACAGAGTGAGTGAGTAACTGAGTGACTGAGTGAGTGACTGAGTGAGTAACTGAGTGACTGAGTGAGTGAGTGGGTGGGTGGATGGGTGAGTGAGTGGATGGGTGAGTGAGTGGATGGGTGAGTGAGTGGGTGAGTGGGTGGGTGGGTGAGTGACTGACTGACTGAGTGACTGACTGACTGACTGACTGAGTGACTGAGTGACTGAGTGAGTGACTGAGTGACTGAGTGACTGACTGACTGAGTGAGTGACTGACTGAATGACTGAGTGACTGACTGAGTGACTAACTGAGTGACTGACTGAGTGACTGGCTGAGTGACTGAGTGACTGACTGACTGAGTGACTGACTGACTGAGTGACTGAGTGACTGACTGAGTGACTGACTGACTGAGTGACTGACTGACTGAGTGACTGAGTGACTGACTGAGTGACTGAGTGACTGACTGAGTGACTGACTGAGTGACTGAGTGACTGACTGACTGACTGAGTGACTGACTGAGTGACTGAGTGACTGACTGAGTGACTGAGTGAGTGACTGAGTGGGTGAGTGGTGACTGAGTGAGTGAGTGAGTAGGTGAGTGGTGAGTGAGTGAGTGACTGAGTGACTGAGTGAGTGACTAAGTGAGTGAGTAGGTGAGTGAGTGAGTGACTGAGTGAGTGAGTGACTGAGTGAGTGACTGAGTGACTGAGTGACTGAGCGAGTGAGTGACTGACTGACTGAGTGAGTGACTGAGTGACTGACTGAGTGACTGAGCGAGTGACTAACTGAGTGAGTGACTCAGTGAGTGAGTGAGTGACTGAGCGAGTGACTAACTGAGTGAGTGACTCAGTGAGTGAGTGACTGAGCGAGTGAGTGACTGACTGACTGACTGAGTGACTGAGTGAGTGACTGAGTGACTGACTGACTGAGTGAGTGAGTGACTGAGTGAGCGAGTGATTGACTGAGTGAGTGAGTGAGTGACTGAGTGAGTGACTGACTGAGTGAGTGACTGAGTGAGTGAGTGACTGAGCGAGTGACTGACTGAGTGAGTGACTGAGTGAGTGAGTAACTGAGCAAGTGAGTGACTGACTGACTGACTGACTGAGTGACTGACTGACTGACTGAGTGACTGACTGAGTGACTGACTGAGTGAGTGATTGACTGACTGAGTGACTGAATGAGCGAGTGAGTGAGTGATTGAGTGACTGACTGACTGAGTGAGTGACTGAGTGACTGACTGAGTGAGTGATTGAGTGAGTGACTGATTGGGTGACTCCAAGTCCACCACCTCGCACCGTTTCTCGTGAGTGAGGTACAGCAGCTTGGTCAGTGAGTGAGTGACTGAGTGAGCGAGTGAGTGACTGACTGACTGAGTGAGTGAGTGATTGACTGAGCGAGTGAGTGAGTGAGTGAGTGATTGAGCGAGTGAGTGAGTGATTGACTGAGTGACTGACTGACTGAGTGAATGACTGACTGACTGAGTGACTGACTGAGTGACTGACTGAGTGAGTGACTGAGTGACTGACTGAGTGAGTCACTCCAAGTCCACCACCTCGCACCATTTCTCGTGAGTGAGGTACATCAGCTTGGTCAGTGAGTGAGTGACTGAGTGATTGAGTCATTTACTGAGCGAGTGAGTGAGTGATTGACTGACTGACTGAATGAGTGACTGAGTGACTGACTGACTGAATGAGTGACTGAGTGACTGACTGACTGAGTGACTGACTGACTGAGTGACTGACTGACTGAGTGACTGACTGAGTGAGTGACTGAGTGAGTGACTGATTGGGTGGACTACAAGTCCACCACATCGCACCGTTTCTTGTGAGTGAGGTACATCAGCTTGGTCAGTGAGTGAGTGACTGACTGACTGAGTGACTGACTGACTGAGTGACTGACTGAGTGACTGACTGAGTGACTGACTGAGTGACTGACTGAGTGAGTGACTGACTGAGTGAGTGACTACAAGTCCACCACCTCGCACCGTTTCTGGTGAGTGAGGTACAGCAGCTTGGTCAGTGAGTGAGTGACTGAGTGATTGAGTGAGTGACTGAGTGACTGAGTGAGTGACTGAGTGACTGAGTGAGTGACTGAGTGACTGACTGAGTGACTGACTGAGTGAGTGACTGATTGGGTGGACTACAAGTCCACCACCTCGCACCGTTTCTGGTGAGTGAGGTACAGCAGCTTGGTCAGTGAGTGAGTGACTGAGTGATTGAGTGAGTGAATGACTGACTGAGTGAGTGACTGAGTGACTGACTGAGTGAGTGACTGAGTGAGTGACTGATTGGGTGGACTACAAGTCCACCACCTCGCACCGTTTCTTGTGAGTGAGGTACATCAGCTTGGTCAGCATCAGCTCCAGCAGATAACCCCTGGATGGGTCTCCCACCACGTGCAGCTCATCCACCACCACAATACCTGCAGAGACACGGAGTGTAGTGTATAGTGTAGTGTAGTAGTGTATAGTGTAGTGTATAGTGTAGTGTATAGTGTAGTGTATAGTGTAGTGTGTAGTGTATTGTGTAGTGTATAGTGTAGTGTGTAGTGTAGTGTAGTGTGTAGTGTAGTGTATAGTGTAGTGTAGTGTGTAGTGTATAGTGTAGTGTATAGTGTAGTGTGTAGTGTATAGTGTAGTGTGTAGTGTAGTGTGTAGTGTAGTGTATAGTGTAGTGTATAGTGTAGTGTATAGTGTAGTGTAGTGTATAGTGTAGTGTATAGTGTAGTGTGTAGTGTAGTGTAGTGTGTAGTGTAGTGTGTAGTGTAGTGTATAGTGTAGTGTAGTGTATAGTGTAGTGTATAGTGTAGTGTGTAGTGTGTAGTGCAGTGTGTAGTGTGTAGTGTATAGTGTAGTGTATAGTGTAGTGTAGTGTGTAGTGTATAGTGTAGTGTATAGTGTAGTGTATAGTGTAGTGTGTAGTGTAGTGTGTAGTGTATAGTGTAGTGTGTAGTGTAGTGTAGTGTGTAGTGTAGTGTATAGTAGTGTAGTGTATAGTAGTGTAGTGTATAGTATAGTGTAGTGTATAGTGTATAGTGTAGTTTGTAGTGTATAGTGTAGTGTATAGTGTAGTGTAGTGTATAGTGTGTAGTGTATAGTGTGTAGTGTGTAGTGTAGTAGTGTATAGTGTAGTGTATAGTGTAGTGTATAGTATAGTGTAGTGTATAGTGTAGTGTATAGTGTGTAGTGTATAGTATGTAGTGTATAGTGTGTAGTGTAGTGTGTAGTGTATAGTGTAGTGTATAGTGTAGTGTATTGTATAGTTTGTAGTGTATAGTGTAGTGTATAGTAGTGTATAGTGTAGTGTGTAGTGTAGTAGTGTATAGTGTAGTGTATAGTGTAGTGTGTAGTGTAGTAGTGTATAGTGTAGTGTATAGAGTAGTGTAGTAGTGTATAGTGTAGTGTATAGTTTAGTGTATAGTGTAGTGTAGTGTATAATGTAGTGTATAGTGTAGTGTATAGTGTAGTGTAGTGTATAGTGTAGTGGATAGTGTAGTGTGTAGTGTAGTGTGTAGTGTAGTGTATAGTTTAGTGTGTAGTGTAGTATATAGTGTAGTGTATAGTGTAGTGTATAGTGTAGTGTGTAGTGTAGTAGTGTATAGTGTAGTGTATAGTGTAGTGTGTAGTGTAGTAGTGTGTAGTGTAGTAGTGTATAGTGTAGTGTATAGTGTAGTGTGTAGTGTAGTAGTGTATAGTGTAGTGTATAGAGTAGTGTTGTAGTGTATAGTGTAGTGTATAGTGTAGTGTGTAGTGTAGTGTATAGTGTAGTGTATAGTGTATTGTATAGTGTATTGTATAATGTAGTGTATAGTGTAGTGTATAGTGTAGTGTATAGTGTAGTGTATAGTGTAGTGTATAGTGTGGTGTATAGTAGTGTATAGTGTAGTGTATAGTGTATAGTGTAGTGTATAGTGTATAGTGTAGTGTATAGTGTATAGTGTAGTGTATAGTGTAGTGTATAGTGTAGTGTATAGTGTAGTGTAGTGTATAGTGTAGTGTATAGTGTAGTGTAGTGTATAGTGTAGTGTATAGTGTAGTGTATAGTGTAGTGTAGTGTATAGTGTAGTATATAGTGTAGTGTATAGTGGAGTGTATAGTGTAGTGTATAGTGTAGTGTATAGTGTAGTGTATAGTGTAGTGTGTAGTGTAGTGTATAGTGTAGTGTATAGTGTAGTGTATAGTGTAGTGTATAGTGTAGTATATAGTGTAGTAGTGTATAGTGTATAGTGTAGTGTATAGTGTAGTGTATAGTGTATAGTGTAGTGTATAGTGTAGTGTATAGTGTAGTGTATAGTGTAGTGTATAGTGTAGTGTATAGTGTAGTGTATAGTGTAGTGTATAGTGTAGTGTATAGTGTAGTGTATAGTGTATAGTGTAGTGTATAGTAGTGTATAGTGTAGTGTATAGTGTAGTGTGTAGTGTATAGTGTAGTGTATAGTGTAGTGTATAATGTAGTGTATAGTGTAGTGTATAGTGTAGTGTATAGTGTATAGTGTAGTGTAGTGTATAGTGTAGTGTATAGTGTGGTGTATAGTGTAGTGTATAGTGTAGTGTGTAGTGTATAGTGTATAGTGTAGTGTATAGTGTAGTGTATAGTGTAGTGTATAGTGTAGTGTATAGTGTAGTGTATAGTAGTGTATAGTGTAGTGTATAGTGTAGTGTATAGTGTAGTATATAGTGTAGTGTAGTAGTGTAGTGTAGTGTATAGTGTAGTGTATAGTGTAGTGTATAGTGTAGTGTATAGTGTAGTGTATAGTGTAGTGTATAGTGTAGTGTATAGTAGTGTATAGTGTAGTGTATAGTGTAGTGTATAGTGTAGTGTATAGTGTAGTGTATAGTGTAGTGTATAGTGTAGTGTATAGTGTATAGTGTAGTGTATAGTGTAGTGTATAGTGTAGTGTATAGTGTATAGTGTAGTGTATAGTGTAGTGTATAGTGTAGTGTATAGTGTATAGTGTAGTGTATAGTGTATAGTGTAGTGTATAGTGTAGTGTAGTGTGTTACCGAGTGAATCCAGGCCATCCTCCTCCACCAGGCGGTTCAGGAGGCCGTTAGCTGCCTCGATCGTGCAGACAGCCACATCAACACTGGCCAATCCGCCAAGCGGACACTGTGTAGTGTATAGTGTAGTGTATAGTGTATAGTGTAGTGTATAGTGTAGTGTAGTGTGTTACCGAGTGAATCCAGGCCATCCTCCTCCACCAGGCGGTTCAGGAGGCCGTTAGCTGCCTCGATCGTGCAGACAGCCACATCAACACCGGCCAATCCGCCAAGCGTATAGTGTGTAGTGTATAGTGTAGTGTATAGTGTAGTGTATAGTGTAGTGTATAGTGTAGTGTGTTACCGAGTGAATCCAGGCCATCCTCCTCCACCAGGCGGTTCAGGAGGCCGTTAGCTGCCTCGATCGTGCAGACAGCCACATCAACACCGGCCAATCCGCCAAGCGGACACTCCCCACTCATGAACCCTCCCACACGCAGCCCGCACGGAGACCACAGCTCCTGTTCAGCGGGGGAAATAGTAGGAGTATCAGTAGTAGT